AGGACTCCTTCCTTGCCTTTCACAGGAAAGGAATCTGGAGGTGCAAGTCCGAAACTGCCCAGCCCAGCGCTGGGCATGCACAGGGCCATGTCCAGCCTCTGCCAGCCTGCTGTGTAGCTAATATTTCCTCTTTAGGCTCTGAAAACTGTGACCTATACCAGGCAGAGACAACACTTGCAGCTCCTACCACCTAGTGGCTGCAATATTTCGCTGTGACAGAGCAAGGAGGCTGTTTGGAGGTCAGGCAGCCTCAGCCCATCCTGGGCAAATAAAGCAGCCCTTGCTAGCAGGTATCACTTATGCTGCAGCTGAGACTAAATTAGGACCACACTGAGCACAGAGGCAGCACAAGAGAACAGAAAACCTTTCTGAAAACCATCAGCAGCTAATGTAAGCACAGAAAAACCTCAGCTAGCTCTAAAACAGATGAGCAAAAGTAGCAGCAATATAGATGAACTCAGGCAATGCATTGCTGCTTCTGGTACTCGTGCCAGCTGAGCTAATGCTACGTTACTAGCACTACATGACATTGCGCTGTGCAGCACAGACATGCCCCAGGCTGTTTAAGTCAGCCCGAGGCTGCATAAGTCAGGAGAAGAGTTTGCTAGTTTGGGTGGAATATCATACAAGAGTCAGAATTCAAATGCCTCTAGATCCAGCCAAACCCTGCAACACTTTGAGCGCTCTGTCCTCAAACTGCTGCAGCATTCAGGTGCTTCCAAGGCCCTTCCTTTCCAGTTTCCACAATTTCCTCTTGAACTGGGAGGGAGGGGCCATAGCCAGACACCCCTATTCCAGGTGCAGCCTCACCAGTGCCAGGCAGAGGGGATAATGACTTCCCCTGAGCTCCTGAAGCAGCCCAGTACATAATTTAAACTTATGTGCAATGAGACCGCACTGCTGGCTTATACTGAACTTGGCACCTACCGTAAGCCCCAGGGCTACTACCCTGCCAGTTAGTCCCAGCCTGTCTTGATGCATCGTATGGGATCAGGCTCTGACTTTGCTTTGACAAATGGTAAGAAGCCTCAAAATGGCTAGTTCTTGAAAAATTCCTAAAGGCAGGTCCAGTAGGTCATTATTTATCCAGGATCTCTATGGCAGACTGGAATCACGTTTTGTTTTTTTATAACATGAACCGTTAATACCACATTTTCAGAGTTTGGGCTATAAGTGTGAAACATGTGATGTGGTTTCCATGTAATTACAAGTGAAACTAGGTATTGTTTTGTGTAACCCTCCCCTCAACTCCAAACACCAGAAAGTGCTTTGGTATTTTTAAATATGGCTGCAGGACGATACTTTGAGTAAGTGGCTACTATTTTTTTTATATATATATTCTTTTCTGCCAGGTTTGTGTTAATGGAAGGGCTAACCCAATGCCATGTAAAGAAAAAGCAGAAACCCTAAGTACTGTATCAGCCCAGCTAAGCCCTCCTGGAAGGACTCTGTCCAATGAATACCCTGCTGCTGCAATCATGTCTCTATTATAGCAAAGGGATTTAATTATACTTTAATAAGCAATTTACATCTGGTTATTCTGGATTGAGGTGGGTGTCACTGAGCGCAGAACACAGACAAAAGACGCGATGAACTAAATTAGTCTGAAATCTACTTTTTCTTTTGTGAACGCTGCCCTTTTTGGTTTTGCTTATTATTGGAGGGAAGTGGTTTTCTGTTACTGACAATCCACATAATGAAGCAAAGGGGGATTCAAGTAAAAGAGCAACCTGGGAAGACTGGAAATAGCAGGGTCCTGCTACGACAAGCACCACTCCCTTGGCACCCTTTCAGAGACTGACCAGCTCTGCGTTCAGGGCAGCAAGGGCTGAGGGGTTCTTCCCTCTGCTCCTCTGACAAGAAGCTGGTCCAGAAATTCCTGTTCCAGGCTGCTCTACTGTTTAGCAACCTCCTTTTCATTTCCAGTCTAACTGTATCCATGGCCAGTCTAGACTCTTTTAATCTTAGCCAGCATCTTGACAGCTTTGTTTCCGTCCCCAGTGTTTGACATCTGCAGACATCAATCAGATCCTCTTTTTGCTTTCAATTTGCTAGTCTAAACAGGCTGAGTTCTTCCCTTTTTTTCCCCCCTTTGCAAAAGACACTGCAATTACTTCATCAGCCCAGAAGACCTTGTCTGCACCCATAGCAGATTGCATTCATTTTTTGAACATGACGGATGGTACTAGCACAGTGACCTTAAATATTCCCTAAGTTCATGGGAAATACTCTACACAGCCCAGGAGCACACTTGCTATTTTCACATCTATATTGCAATTCAGTAAGCAAAGCCATAGCAAAGAGCATAGAAATGAGTGGCAAAACCCACTGCTATCCCACATCTAATCTCAAACACCACACATCAATACTGGACTTTTCTGATATTTTACATGAGAACTTCAGCAAAGCCACTCAAATTTGGGCCCTGAGTCTTCATATTATGAAATAAAAGAGGAGTTTCCTTGGTTACTAGTGACAACAGTGAGCTTTAAGTTTTGTTTCTGCTACACAGCACAGCTACTCTGTGAACCACGTAAGCTCTATATAAAAAAAACCCAAAAAACAAACCACCTCATTTCTATTACGTGAGTCTACCCAAGGGCTCCACCCTAAACAAGCACAACTCTCAAACTCCATAGCTGGCTGTTGCATCACCCTAGTGAGAAGTGAAACGAGTGGGTGGCAGGATGCATTTGTCTGCCCCCCCTTTTTGGGGGGGTTTGTTTTTTGTTTGGTTTTTTTTTAGTATTTTGGGTTTATGTAGGAGGAATGAAGCCACAATTAAAAGGGCAAGTTTCTCCTGCCTTTTCTAAGAGGAAAAGAAGCTCTATTACCACTTAGCAATGGACAAAAAGCAACTGGAAAGGAGCCCAGGCAGTTTGGAAGAGCTACACTGCAGAAAATGCTTTGGTCCTAATAACAGCTTAGCTCAGGGACTCCCAAACTTACCTTGCTGGGACACAGCTGTGGCCACTGCCTCCATCACAGCCACTCCTCCCTCCACCACCCACATCAGCAACAAGCTCCCACCAGAGGAGGCTCTAAGCTGGACAGACAGCACGTGTGCAGTCCTCCGCTGAGGTATAAATACCACAAGTGACAGCAATGCTATCATTTGTCTTATCTACACGAGAAGAAATACCAGCTGTATATGGATCTGATTCAGTGTCCACCCATGTCAGTAGGATCCTTTCCAGTAACCCCAAAAGGATCTTTCATTCAGTTCCGAGCAGTATACAAAGGCTGGTAGATACAGGAGGCTACCCCTGCTTCCAAGTACAATTCATTGAGCTTGCAGATAATTCAATGCAAATACAGTCCTGTTAAAATTCAGGTAGCAAGACAGCAGAGCCTGAGATCCCACAGCAACCGGAGGACGCTGCAGGTCTGTAGACACTTGCGCATATGCATTTAGAAACATCCAATGGCACAGAGATGTTTACAAGGGAAGACACAAAGAAAGGCTTCCCTGTTATTACCATTTCGTTAGGGAGCCTACAACAAGCCAGGGTTTTGTTTGCCAAATGCCCAGCAGATGTTAGAGGTGACATATAGCAGAGTGCTCTGTTCACTCTTGAGCAGAGGTTTCTCCTGGATCTAACGTAGACAATTATAACAGGCCAGGGACCAAATACACAGGAGAGTGCCTCTGTCTGCAATGTGCTAGCCAGTGTCAGGAGGAAGGCTGTCCGCTGCCTGGGCTATACTTACAGGAGTCTGGAAGCAACAGTAGAGCTTGGTGAGGAATGGGTGGTTCCTTGCTAAGGAAAGGATGCGTTTCTCGGTCATGGTGCATTCAACATCGTCATCTTGGAGAATGACGTCCTTCTTCAACACCTTCACTGCATAGAGCTGCCCACTCTCCTTCATCTTGGCAAGCATCACCTAAACCAAAGGGGAGGGTGAATCGCAAGGGCTGAGCCCTCAGCCTCTTACGAGCAACACAGAGCCTCTTGCACCTTCTCACACTAGAGAGGTCAGTTATCTCATGACCAGGCTTGTGGATGCAAGTGAGTCAGCCTTTTAGTATGGGCACCAGCGTACAACTGATGACACACATGCTACTGTCTGCAGAAGGCTTCTCCAGACAGAAGTGCCCACACACGTTGCTCCAATGTCTGGCGCAGGGCTAGCTGGTCGAAGCTCATCCACTGTGCCAGGGCAAGCCCCCTGAGCAGTGCCATCCATCCCACTTCCCTCCTCAGTTATCAAATTCAAATGCACTACTTCACATTGGCTTTGTGGCAAAGCAGAGAAACAAACCCCCCATCTCACTGCATTTGAAACCACGGCCTTGTTTCCTTTAAAGGAAAAGTCTTTGCACGCTCCAAGAAATGCTGCCCAAACAAGTGCTAATGCACACACTTGCAATTTCTGGTATGGGCCCTGGCATGCAGCTGTTCCTTTGGTTGCTAACTTTTCTCTTTTTTGTGATATCAAATTCTTCACTTTGCTGTCAGCTTGCTTTCTCTTCCCTTTTCTCCCTGCTCTCTGTAACCAACCTTGTTGTGCAAAGCATACTCCACTGGACAGCCTGTGTGCCATATTATGAAATAACTTAATCTACCTTGGAGCTTCTTAAATAAGGAATGTGGTTTTCCCCGAATAACTCTCACCTTTCCAAAACTGCCCTTTCCCAATACACGAAGGAAGGTTAAGTCTTTGATCCCAAGTTTGCTCGCTGAGCTTTCACTAACGTTGTTGCCACCTTTCAGGCTGCCTTTTCCCTGATGTCTCAAAGTAGATCTTGAAACCAGTTTCTGTGGAGGAAAGTAAATAAGTATCAGTCTGCACAGAAATTGTACTTTTGCCTCAGAGGTGTACACAAGTAGTCAACCTACCAACCTGGGCATTTAGGACCTGTTCAGATACACTGTATGGCCACTGGAACAGAAAGCTTGTTGGTACCACCATCCCGCATAGCTGTTACGCCTGACCAGCCAACCTCGGCACTGCACAGAGCTGTGCTGAGGCGTCAACACTGGTTCCTGACCTGGGCATTTTAAGTTGTAAACCCATGCCCAGCAGATCCAAGAGGCAAGCCTGCCTCTCTCCATCCTCACTCCCCAGAAAAATAAGACAATGAGAGTGGAAATCCAAGTCTCCTATCTAACATCAGAGCGAGGAGGACTGCATAATTTCTGCAATATGCAAAGTGCTGGTGAGATCTAGAACCCGAGCAGATTTCATCTGAATCTCTTAGGTTTCTACCTGATTTTAAGACTCTTACTCAAAGCCCAGTTCAGTGGGACCCAAACTCCAAAATATTTTTCTTTTCCACAGCTGGGCTGCTGGCTTCCTCCACTGCTGTAAATTCAATGGAAGGCTGTTCATTCCCATGCCAGCAGTGAGGTGTCTGCATTTTCAGGAATCGTACCAATAATTAGCACGCATTTCTAGAGCTTTGGTTTTTGCAGTATACAAAGATCAAGTCAACCTCCAGTGCCCTCTGTTCACAGCTCTCCAGGTATGAGTACGCATATAAACCACGAGTAGTTTTTATTCAGTTTATTAGCCCGAACAAAGGCACGCGGACTTCTTGAGCTCCACCTTGTGACTACTTTGGTGTAAAGCAAAATTCTTCCTGCACAGATGACTTGTCTCACTGCCACAGAAATGGCAACCCCAGCCATGGGGAAAGAACCAAGAGTGTTCAGGACAGCACCCAGCAAAACTCCCAACAGATTTAAGCTTACAGCACAGTCTGAACACTTACCTGGAGCTGTTAGCTCACAAATAATGAGAAGAGATTGTTAAACACCAAGCACAGATTTTTATTTTCCTGGTTTCACCTCCTTTTGATGTGCAGATTATGCAAACAACAAATTTGCAAACAATCAGCTAACAAGCGCTGATTTTTACAGAACTGAGAAGGGAGTGTGGGGCTTGTGTTTCCCTGTAACTCCCAGGATAGCTGTGCCCCTGAACTGCAACAGCATGAAAAGCGAAGATAAGAAAGTCTCATTTGCTGCAAACCAACTGAAATCAAAAGGGGCAGCACAGCCTAATGAGCAGGCTAGGCTGATACAGCATCATGTGGTCAACCGGCGTAGCTGACTAACTGTATGACAAGATTTACCAGGTCTGGCAAGTATGTTTTTAATATTTTCTTTCTGGTCAAATAAAAACAAATAGCCCAACATTTTATTATGGGTTACTGTGGTTTCAAGCAAACTCACTTTTCAAAACTGCTAGCAAAGGAAACATGATGAAAACTTGTTATCAAATGACAGCTCTGATTTCCATTACCCTTTATGGGCATTTTCACTCAAGCTCTCACAGTGTGTTTTAAGCTCTCTGAATAGACTCAGATATACAACAGCTGGATTTTTAGGATGCCTTAAGTAGTGACAAGCAGAAATTGTACACATATGTCCCAACCCTAGCAACAAGCTCACTAGGACCCTAGCCTGGACAGCAGAGACCAGAGATGATGATGTGTTGACAGGGACCACAGACTTTAGCTGGGGAAACTGTAGTGAATAGTGAAACAGTTTCCCCAAAATCACTCAGAAAAACAGTGACAAAGCAGGGAAGAGCACGTGGGCCTCTTACTGAGCTCTTCTTATACTCTATTCCAAGCCACACATGCAGACAGTGCATTTGTGTTCGCGGGAAAGGTAAAAAAGGGTATGACATGAATTATATTGACCATTAATTAGTTTGGGGTCTTATTCTCCTCTCATTCATGTCAAACAGATAAAAGAGTCAATGGAGTCACACCACTATGAAACATAAGCAACACCTATAGACTAAAGCCTCCGTCAGGGTAAACCTGGATACAAGACATCCATTTTCCAGGTGAAGTCTTTGCCACAAGCCTCAGCCAGTAACAGCCTGCTCATGCAGCCCACCATCCAAAGCCATCTGCCATAACTGAAGTCTCTGACTTCTCCTGCACCCATATAAAGACTTAGTTGTAAATGTTTTAAATAGAGGAGGAAAAAATAAAGAAGAAAAAGACTCACCGAATTTGGGGAAATGCTTCCTGGTTGCAGACCCATGCATGCCAAGGTTTTAGCAAGCTCTGCTGAGTTCACCCCACAGTTCGGCGCAACGTTTGCTTGGCATCGGATGTGGACGTTCATTTTACAGACTGACAGGGGTGATGGTAGGCATGGAAAGTAAAAGCAAAGGAACAATTAAAATAACTTGGAGGGATTTATTGCTGAGAAATAATTTAGTAATTCTGCTTCAGGAAATATATCCATCTGGATCTACCCTGTGTCTTTAAACTAAAAGGATTTTTGCCATTGATCTCAGCAGAAATAAAATTAGGACTCTCATAAGAGAATAAACTCCTGAAAACCAGGAATATACCCCAAACTCTCTAAGTAGGATGCCACATTGCCTGAAGCTATTCACAAGCACATGTCTGTCAGGTATAGAAATACCATTGCAGCTATGCCTGCAGGTAAAATTCGGAATTATAATGCCACAGAATTCGCAACAAACTTCCCCTGCATTTGCAGGTATCTAATTTTAAAGATATATTGTTCAGTGGGAAACTAAAAATCTTTCTTGCTCTCGCTCGTGGACACACATACACCCTCTTGTGGGAGATGAAGGCAAATGGAAACTGTTTGTTACTCATACGATTTTACAGTCTGGGTCACTGAAACAAAAACATGCCACCAGGACATGCTTTGTCATCAATTAACAGTATGACAGACAGGGTAGTCAACCTAAAGCAATGACCTTTTTTTCCCCCTCAGATGCCTTTTCACTGCCTTATCCCATTAAGCTGAGGAAAAGCCTTCAGGTAAAGGGAAAAATGAATGCAGGAAGCAGCGATACCCAAGAATATTTTCAATAATGCCAGTTAAACAAAGCTGTGCTGAGAGTGTGAAGTAGAGTCCTTCTGGAAGCCTGAGATTACAAAGTAGATCAGCATTTTTGTTAACTCTTGCAAAGATGAATATTCATTGCTTGGCTTTCTCTTGAAGGCTGCACAAATCAAGCCCACACGGTGCATCAAGAGTCTAAAAATATATGTATTTTGTGAAAAGGCTATAGTAAGAAGCTGCTCACTTTTACACTGTAAGCCCTGTCGCATGAGTCCCCAGAGCAAGGAACCGCAGTGGTCACAGAAAGTCGGGACTTTGTAGTTGTGGACGCTGAACTTATGAGGAATGTTGATTCCAAACCTCTGTTCAGTCACCTGAGGCACCAAAAGAAAAGCACAGATTTCAAATTCAAATACATATATATATGTAAGCTGATGTTCATTTACATACAGGCATTTAAGTGAAAAACTATGAAAATAATTCCAAGTCAGAAAATGTCCCAATCCATCACCTCACTGAGGTTTACTGCAAGTGAACACTGAGTGACCAACCTCACCTGCCGCGAGCCTGCTCTGGTTTCCTTGCCGGTCAGGCTGGACTACCTGACAAAGCAGATTTTAAAAAGGGCTACCTAGCCAATTTTAAATTCTTAAAACCAAGTTTGAATTAGAAGTGTGGATTACCTCATCACAAACCTATCACACTGAAGTGCCACATATAAATTACGTTAGCTACAGCATTTTGTAACTAACCAGTTTTCAAATTATTAACTTGCACACATGTGCAAACATGTAACTTTAGGTCAAACTGTTGATTTTATGAAATTTAATATAGAATAGTTTTCCCAGCTCCTCCTAAAATTCTCATCCCTCGTCTCACCCTCCTTGTTATTAACAGTCTTCCATTTCAGGCCCACATTTCGCTTTATCACTTGCTCTCATCCCCTTTTCAACCTTGCTTTTTTCCAACTGTGAATCATGCAGATCTCAAAGACACCTTAGAAAATGTTAGATCGGCTGAAGAAACCCCTCTCCATTGAACCTCTTCATTACTTTCTATTTTGCATCTCAACATGCAGATCCTGGAAGACTGAGGGGCAACCTACAACTTGACAAAGAAAAGTCCGGGGCGCAACTGAAACAACGAGTTTAAAGTGAGCGGTGCCTCCTCACCTTTGCCTTCTTTTAAAGTAGTTTAGAGGTGTTATAAACCCTTCGCAATCCTGAAAGAGGGGTGAGGAGACTCACCGTTTAACTTGCACTTTAGCCTTAAGCATTTTAACTTATTTTCATCTGGTTTGGCAAGGGGTCATTTTAAGAAGTCTAGCTCAGCAGTTGGGAGGCAAGAAATAACGAGCAAAGGCAATTGCTTATCTGCACCGGAAAGAAGGTTTCTGCATGGCACACAATACAGAGCTACCTCCCAATTAAAAAATATTTCAGTTGAATTTTCCTCAAACAGTTATTAAACAATTTCCAGTTACAGAAATGAGACATGCAATATACAGGGCAGTTTTAAGTGGGGATGTTACTCCTGTCAAATACAGCCAAAACTAGCAAGAAAGAAAACCTTCAGAAACACAAGTTATGCAAGGGTTCTTTATTACAACATAAATCATATTTCATAGAGTAAAGGTGTGGAGCAATAACTAAATGAGCACTTTAAATTACCAGAAAAGAGAGGCATAACAAATACCAGTGGTTAGACTTTAAAACCAGATAAATCCCCATTAAGAACTGGGCACCAAATTTTGATGACAACACAGTTAAACACGAAAGAAAATTACCACGGAAAACAGTGGATTTGCTAATTTTTGATGTCTTCCAATGAAGACACCATGCCTTCCTAAACTATGTGCTAGTCCAACCAGTTACTGGAATTAACAGAAGAACAACCAGATGATATTGCATAGCCCTTATGCATGTCCCTATCACTACTCTTCACTTTAAAAATCTATGAATAGAGATAACACAGAGTAAATTCTATTATAGGACAACCCCCAGCAACCCAGAAAACCTCAGGATTCACAAATTATGATGACCCAAAATAACCACCATGACTTTACCTTGAGATCGGTCTTGTTAGTATTGTTTTGGCACGTGCAAGCTGTAACAATTAGATGATGGCAGCGCTTGTGTACAACACAGGTGCATACTAGGAAATAAAAGAGGCATGCTGAAAAGAGCTGTTGAAAGGCTCAGAACACATCAACCCATCAGCTGGGTTCTTTAAGGCTCAGCTGTATCATCAGGACACAGTAAAGATGTGAAAAATAATCGCTGGCTTAGAATTTCCAAAATCTCATAACAGATCTGAAGATGTATCTCCAACATATTGCAACAGAAATTCTGCACTGGCTCATTCATACAGCCTAGAAAACAGCTGCCTATACAAAATACGGGTGATGCCCACAGAAATAACAGTGGATGCTGTTGAAATTATCCAGTGGCGAGTATTTCTCACAACACACACAAACAATATTAGAGAACACAGGTCTGAGATATCAAAAGCCATCCCTACATCTCAGTGGCATAGCGTCTCTTACACTGGATACCTGAGTGAGTCCTGCCCAGGTTAGTTTGTCATTAAGTGCAACGCTTGGATCTGGGGAGCTGGATAACTGCAGCGGAATGGTGCTGCGTCTGGGCTAATTAGCTAGTCCCCATCAAGAGGGCTAATCAGTCCTAAAGCAGAGTTGGGCTCTCTCCAGGTCTGAAGCTGGCTTGGCTGGAATGAACTTGGGATTCCTCCACTCCATAACCCAGCGTGCATTGTAGACACCACCAAGGGCCGTAGCTACTGTCTACATAAGGGGATTTTTGTAATGGAAACTGTACGTTGCAGATGTGTTGCAGGGTCCCACCCTATTCTGTTTGTTGCTGACTCAAGCTTCCACTCATAACGGTCTGTCAATAACATTCACTTCCACACAGAAATTTTATGCAGGATATCCATTTTGTTTACATGTAGCTTCTTTTCATATGAGGACACCAGTGCCCTATTATATTGCACAAGAAACAGGCTGTGTTAGAAGGCTATACTGAGTGACCATACACCTGCGTGCAAGTAATAAAATAAAAAACATAAAAATAAAATCTTACCATAGAAAAAGGGAAAGGAAGAACAATAATTAAGTGCAAGCAAGCATCACATACGTCTATACAGCCATTCAGCCAAAACATGCATTCAGACAAAAGTGAGGTGCCAGCCCACAAGGCCGCCCTTTGAAGTCACATCCCTAGTTCCACTTTGTTGAACTACATAGGTGGAGAAAGGAAGAGGGTGGCCATTCCAGTAGGACACTTTGTGTCCCAATACCAGCTGAACACTGTCCTGAAGGGACCCTGGATCTCTCAAGCCTAGCTGGGTATTGCATGTACTCAGCAACTCAGTGGATCTGCACAGGAGGAAAACTGTGGGTGAAACACAGCAACCGGACCCCTAGGTGTTTGCATGTAGGTGGTGGCTCCTGCGTGCATGCAAGTCGTCAGCCTGACAGCTGCTCAAATGCACAGTTTTGGCTGGCTGGGGAGGAAGAGGAGCGGTGACTTCAGAGAAGCTTGTAACCGCAGGATGTCCCAGCAGCACAGAAGAGTGCTCCTGAGACAGCACATCCTACACACACCGTGCAGGAGCAGAGCACCTTACCTTGGCACTGGTATCCCTGCTTCCCAAAGACGCCCCTGTTCAAAACAAAATATGAACATAATTTAAAATCAGAAAGCCAGTCTTCTTGCAGATGGTTTACAGAAGAGAGTGCCAAAATGCAAGAGGATCCCAAATGACCAGATCCCCGGGGCAAAACTGCCCAGCAATAGTGGTGCAATTCAGCACAGGGGTGTGAGAGCATAACAAAGCACTGCAAGGGCCATAGCTTACAGGACGGGCTGTCAACATGCATGTATTCCCCATGTTCCCCCTCACTCTAGTTTCTGAAATACCTCACTTTATTACAACACACACCACACTTATTAGACTGATCCCAGCAGCCCACAGCCTGTTATTATCTCTCCCACTCCACACTCTTTTGAGACATATCTAAGTTTTTCTCCCTGCTCTGCCTACTCCCCCACACGTATCACCCCACACCTCACACCTCTGATGACTTTTCTGTTCTCAGGCATTTTCTCCAGTCTTTCAAGCAACTGTTTTTTATAAGTGTAATCTCAAAGCTCCACTCAAGTGAGTATCTGGGGTCTTTCTTCAGATTGCTTGGGTTACTTTTTTCCCTCCTGAAATAATATCTACGCTCACAAGTGAGGAACACTGCCCCATCCCCGCACGCTCCCAGTTTGCTTCCAGCATCCAAGACGCACATCACCTCTGGCCTCTCTGCAGTAGACTCCAGTTTGCAGCATAAATGTACCCTGCTAAACCTGATGGCCAAGGGGAGTCACATCAGTGGCCCTTGGTAAAGTGCTGGATGACTGATTCAGGATCGGAGGTGGCATGTCGGTCCCCAAAACGCGAAGGGACGGGAAGCTCCACACCACCGCGTTCGAGCCATTCTTACCAGATGAACTCCTTGCAGTGCGAGCAGTACGTAGGCTGTCGCAGGTAGGTAGCCATGAATTTGTGCCCGTTCACCTGATGCACTCGCCTTCGCATCGCCCGCTGGCGTTTCCGAGTGAGGTTCTTAAAAATTCGATCCCTCTGGAGGGTCCCTATGCAGACAAAAAACGAAAAAAAAAAATAATTACATGATCATGCACAGTTATTACTCCTGGTTTTGTTACGGCGCAAAATGCTTTCGAAGACCATGATTACATCCCTGGTTTAGAAGTCGGAGGACCACACTCTAGAACAAGGAAAACATCTGGGACAGGCAACAGAGGAAGTTAATTGCAAAGGCCCCTTTAGCTGAGAATTACGTTCTTCATCTAGAAATGACTGCCTCTTCCCATTTTCCTCTCACTCCTCTCCCATGTTGAGACATGTCACTAACCCACTAATTCACAAGCTGTAAACAGACCAGAGGCTCAAGGCTAATGAGTTATTATAAAACTCACAGCTTTTTGGGCAATAACTCAGGAAAACGTGACTGCGTGCAATCAACTGACCAGCCCCGCAGGGCAGCACCCTACTTGCCAATCCAAAGCGATGCCTTGCTCGGTGAATGGTGTTTATCCACCTTCTCATGCTACACTTCAGTATCGCCATTTGTAGCGATTTTGCTTCCTGTATTGGAGAAAAAGGCACAGCCTAATGTTTCAAGGACTGTTAGTTGTTTGATATGTGCCACTTCCAGCTGTCTTTAAAGGGTTCATTTTTAAAATATTATCTACCCTTTGGAAATTCTGGGAAGCAGGGACCCAGGAACTGCTGGCATTCAAACCTGAATTGTCCCAAAATATAATGTTCTGGGGATTTTTTTGCTGGGTTTAGTTCAGCCATATAACCATTTCCTAGCAAAGCTCAATTTACACAAAACAAGTCACTCCTAAAAGGCAGAACTGAGCTCTAGATCAAGCAAGCTGTTCCCATATAGTAGCAGCCATCTGACTTGCAAATCACAGCCAGCTGGTCTCTGGGATCCTTCCACAGACTAGGTCAGAATAAGCTGAGCTTCCCAGATCAAAGCCTCATCTGGGGCACACTCACCTCAGGAGAAAGAAATGAAATTTGCCCATTTCAGGTTAGTTGCTTTCTGAAGGACAGGATCAGGCCCTGCTAACAAGTGCATTTTGGGGACACACAATGGAGTCTGCTAGAGGTGACTGTGCACTGATGTAGGTACTCGGGACTCTTGTTTTGAGCGCGGACTGGATGCAAGACAAACGCCAGCTATCGCCAAACCCTCTGCACGGATGTAATGACACAGAAAGGGACAGGCAGCCTGTAAACTTCCCACCCACCTGATCATCCCGGAGCAGTGGGTCAGCAGCAGTACTCAAACCCAGCTGTTACCCTACCACTTCATTTACCCATACACAGGGGGCAGAGCATTTCCCTGCTTTCAACTAGCTCTGTTGATTAACCACTGTGGGAGGCTTATTTCCCGGTCCTCTTTGTAGGAGTGGAGATAAGGGAAGCCATCCTGTCAGTACTGAACCCAGCCACTTCAAAGGGCTGTGAGCCACATGGTGTTTGCTTCTCAGTACTCCTGCCACACAGGTTTAGAAGCAAAGCCGGCCATAAAGCTCAAGGTGGTTTTTTTTCTGCTGTGTTCTCCCAGCCATTTGTGCATGCGTCCCCTCCGCAGGCACTAATGGAAACCTCCTACCCGATTGCATAACTGCGACATGGAGCGCAGCTTGACTTTAAGACAGCTTGCATTTATTTTTGAAATGGAAGCGCACGCTATAAATTAGGATTTTCCCATTAAAACACAAAAAAGGATGTGGTAGCGCTGATCCAAGAACTTAACAGAAACCTGCTTTCTACACTGCAGAGCTTCAAGCAGCTGGGCAGAGAGACTGGCACAGAAAAGCCTGCCTTTCTAGGGGAGCACTTAAACGTGTTTAATTCTCACTGAAGTCAAGAGGACTCAGGGGACCACAGGAATTGCCAGACTGAATCAGAATATTGGTCCATCTAGTTCAGCATCCTGCCTCTGTCAGTGGGCAACCAGAAACACATGACAGCAAGATGGAGGAACCCTGCAGCTGGGAGATAATTTGCCTCTTTCCCACACACAAGATGTCATTTTGATCTCCAGAAGTGAGAGCTGATGTGCGGAGGTTTGATATCCCTTCCAAACATTCAATCATCATTGCACAATTTCAATAGCCTCATTATCCACCATAGGAAATGTGGCTGAGAAGAACTTCAAGAGGTCAACCAGTTCATCCCTCTTCCCCAAAAGAAAGATCAAAAGCCAGTTGCTTCGCTGAGCCCAAGCCTCCTGCAACTTCATGTGAGAATTTAACAAAAAAAAAATTTCCTTATAGTATTACAGAATTTGCCCACCTTTAAATTCAAGAGAACATCTCCTTGATCTAGGTTTAAGCATACGTTTAAGTGCTTTCCTGGGTCAGGGCCAAACACCTCAACTGGCAAAGTATCCTGTCTTGGCGTTCAGCACGTACAGAAGAACTTCCAAGGCATGGAAAGGGAATAGCAGGGTTTGTGAGTGGGTGGTGAGCACTTAAGTACATCACCTAAAGAAGCAATCCAGTTACCAGCTTGCTTCACACCAGCTGCTCCATTAGAAGCCCAACAGCTGATGCCCTCTAAGTTCATGCACTCACATTTACCAGAGTTTAAGAGGATATGTTCCCAATTTAGCTCATGTAGTTTCTGGCTTTGTTATAGTTCCCCTCAAGGATCAGCACGGGGTAATTGCGTCCCTGGTGCTCTCCCACGCAGTGAGAAGCCCACACGCAGCCAAGAGCAAACCAGTCCTTTGCACCAGGAATAGCGGACACTTGAAAGTGGCCCTCAAAGCCACCGAGTGGGACGCTGTTGTGCGGCCCGGTGGTTTGCCTGGCTTCAGAGAGACTGCAATTTTGAAATGGTTCAGGAAGACCAAACAACGACAGGCACTCACTTTTTCATGGGTGGTAGAGGTTGTCTCCATGCTGCCTGCACTGGTGGATCACATCCACGGCCAGCCTCTGAGCTGTACTTGGCCTCCATCTCCTATTCTCCAGCCACGAACATCTCACACAGCACAACAGCTTCCATCTTAGAGACCCACTTTTCATTAAAACACATGCCACAAGATTTTCTTTTTTTCTTTGTTATATGAAATTCTATGAATAAACATAATTCATATTTAAAACACCCCTCAAATTTCATATTTCCCCACACTACTTGGCTGCGTTACCCTGCTAACTTTCTCCAGATGCTGCACATCTTCCAGGTGATCCTCACCCATGCTTATGTTCACCTCACATTACATTATAACAAATCTAAGTGTTACTAAGCAGGAGACTGACTTAAGCAAGGCCTGGATTACCTTTCATACGCAAACAGCTCTTTTGGGCACTGCTCTTCCCATTTCCCGCTGCCGTCTCGAGCAAAAAGGAGAGGGAGAGCACAGCACAACTTCAGCCACACCTCGGGCCCAGGCATAGCTGCAGGAGACCATCCACCGTATGATCTAGTGGATCTACATATACAACCACATCTCACAGAATAAATCCCTCTATTCAGGGGGCTTGGGCGCTCAGTCATCCCACGTACCACACCATGGAGCAGTCAAGTTCAACCCTCCACCAAGGCGCAAGTGATTTCAAAATGGTGGAACATATCGCTACCAAAACCACCTTCCTCTCAACCACCAGCCTCCCCAACCACCAAGATGGCAGTTCTTCAGCTCACACCCATCACATCTGCTAAACGGCTCCCAGCGCCACTGGGCAAGAGGTTGCGTGCAGAAACCATCAACGCAGCGCTGAAGTCTGCTAGGGGACAAGGTGGCTAACGCAGCAGCCCCTCGTGCCTCTCACGTGTAGTGTCAGAGGATGTAAAGCCATCATAGACATTTTCCCCACTCATGTTCTGCGTTCTGGCCAGTTTGCTATAGAATATATATTTTCCTTCTGCAGGCGCAGAGCGTTTTACAAAACAAAGCAGCTCTAGACCGCTTTAGGAGACTCAGACATTTAAAAGCCTCTAATCTCTGGTAAAGCAACAACCACCATGAATACTTCAAATGTCCAAATGCTGCTATAAAAACAGGCAAGTAATTGCTCAGTGAAGGGAGTCGTCCACATCCATGGTTAAATTTGGACATTTGTAACTATGGGGTATTTACTGTGCCCGGCTATGTGCAAAAGTAACTACAAAGTTAAATACTAAAAAACCTCTTCCCCTTTCCTCCTCTCCACTCATGCCTAACACGTGTTTATGGCAGTGGAAATTATGCACGCGGAGGGAGAGGAGAATAAATAACCCACCAAGCCATCTGAGGACATCTGCATGCACTGGCACACCGCTCACCCACTCAGCAGCCTCATTATGCTGCCCTGCCTGCCCCCTGAACTTACCTGATCCTGCCCTTCCCGGCCAGAGATCCCCCCTTTCCCTGCCCCCCATTTTTTATTCCTGGGGGTAATTTCAAGTCCTTACAGTGGTGGCGTAACTACAGCAGTAAGAGAAGAGGAAGAGCTGCAGGATGAAGCGTGCGTGTAGCTGTTTACCTCAAGTAGGTAAAGCCTGTCAGGTCTCATCTATCGGAAATCAATCTCACCGTCATGCTATCAACTGCTGCTGTAACGTCAGCACCGCAAAGGTCGTTCGGGTACATCCTGATACATGACATTTTCTAGTGTTATACTCCTGTACACATCAATGGGATTTTCCTTTGAAAGAAAGAAAGATATTCAAAAAGCAATGTAAAAAGCCTTAAAGCAATAATGCTAACAGATTAAAACTTAATTAAGCCTTTTCCTATTAGTGGCAGTACCAGTATACACGTTTTCCTACGCTCCCCTGGGAGCAGTGCAAGCAAGATCCCGTTGCACTGCGTGATACACGAGCGCGGAGCAGAGACCAGCCACGGAACTTACTAGACTGTAAAAAGCAAGATGGCGGACTGAGAGACCCCTCACCTCTCACGAGCACCGCGGCACTGAACAACCGCTGCGGATCAGCCTAAAGGCCCAGCTAGCCCGTGCCCTTACCGTGAGTCGTAACGGGCGCTTTAGGAAAAGAATTTAAAAAACATCAAGTAAATAAGGGGGAACGAATCCACGCACACACCCCTTCTAGCCATCAG